TAATTCTCTCTCTCAGCACAAGCACGGAGACGGCGTGGCTCCGTATCATCGTCTCCTATATCGTTCAATACCTGCAATCCTATTTACCTGCATGCAATCAGACAGACAGCCTACAGTGTACAAACACTTTCCGTTTTCAGTATTTTAGAACGGATCTGTGTTTCGTACAGTGTGGAAGCACTATCTACGTTCGTCGTGTATTAACGTTTAGTGATTGGAGTGTAATACATTGTGACGTGCTGTTTCGACGTTATGGATGGCGTTAAAGATATTTTCGAGTGGTATGTGTTAAATGTCCTAACCTGAAAATTTAGTGGTTTTTTGCCTTATTAGTTAATATTTCTCGACTTTTACACGTTATCCTCGTGATGCTCATGTAAACGTAAGTAATAGTTGTAGAACCAGTAAACATCTGCATAATTTATCAATATTACATGTGTTGTTCGTCATGTGTGATAAGTGTTCATCAGGCCTACGCAAGAAATGGGTAAGCTAAATATTTTGAGTTGATAAGTTTGAACTTAGGTGTAATGATTATTTGTAAGTTATAATATATCAACTTTTAACTGTTATATAGTAATGAAGACACGAACGGATGTAAGGATGAAAAACATATACACGAGTGAAACTTTTCGGAATTAATGCAATTGCTCCATCATTAGCGAAGTCTGATGAAAGATTTGTGCCTAGTATATATATATATATTATCTTCACGGTTTTGTCGTGAGGGTTTGCATCGCTTACTTACCGGCGATGCAGTTCCGTTTTTATTGTGTACTTATATGTATGTGAAATAAGTTATGTTATGATAACCAGGTAAATGATTTCATTCTTTATGTAATGTGAGCACATTCGTCCAAGATGGACTCTTCATATTTTAACTCCATCCGCGACTAAATCGCTTACATTAAATAGTTAAAACATTCATCTAATTATTTTGAAGTAAGATGTATATTTGTGTGTGTGTGTTTATATATATATATATATATATATATTGAAGTAAGATGTATATTTGTGTGTGTGTGTGTTTATATATATATATATATATATATATTGAAGTAAGATGTATATTTGTGTGTGTGTGTGTTTATATATATA